AACAATGTGAACTATCAGTAACTTTTATGCAGATTAATTAAGCCACGTAACACTAATTATATACGTATTGTTAGGTGTGGACCCTCGTCATCCACTAATCTCTCCTAAGTGCTTTGTAAGCTTGTCATAGAATTGGCATGTAAAACCGAGGCCTCTGTTCTCATCTAATCCTATTTTTGTGCATTTATTTCCTTCTGTCATGGCCCATAATACATATTTCTTGGTTTTTATGCCATTATCAGATCTTAAAGTTCCTTTGAAAAGGCTTGATATATTTGAGTTGAGAGTTTACATGCTATACCAGAAAAAACTTCTGCTACAACTCTTGTTACCTTTCATGCTGTGCTGTCCACTCTTGGTGTCCGTACAACATACGAGTTTTATTATATGCTTTATTTGGTTACTCTTGGTCTTATTCATTGGTCTTACTCCTGTGTAGCCATTTATCTGTTCTCAATAATCCCTTTATTTTTGGTTCTTTGAGTGGCCTTGGACCAATCCAGTTCTCTTTCCTTTCTCTCTGGTAGTTTACAAGAATAACTGTAAAACGTCCTAGGAATACAATACCCTCAGATAGGGAGGAACTGCCTGAAACCCGTCCCGCCAAGGAAATTGAATAGCTGGAGTTAGGAAGGAGCTTCATGGGGCAGAACCTGAGTTTTGTTCCTCTCTTCCCTGGAAGCAGGATGTCCTTTACAGCTTTTCCCAGTATGTCATGTGGCCCCTGAGGTATATAACCCAGGGTGGGCTAAGTGGGGCATTCATATCAAGACTACGTCTTTCCTGTTCAGCTGTCTTCAGCCTTGGGGGACTCACACACAATGGATCCAAGACTTCTGTCCCTTGCTAGTTATCTATAAGAAACCAACCTGTTTCTCATAACTTATGAATATGTTTTCTTTCACTGGATTTAGGCAAATAGATAACCAGTGCACGGTGGACCTACACAGTAGCCCAGGATGCAGTGGTATATATGGACACCCATTCCTGGTGGTTGGCATACGGACGATCTTTGCTCTTTTCCACATGGAATGGGAGTTCTTTTTTGGAACTGATAATTAGAGAAGCAGTTTCACAATCGGCCTTCCAAAGAATAATGCCTGAAATATGGTATGGTGGCGCTATAATAAACTGTATAAAGTACACAGCGAATGAGTACGTCTTAGACCTAGAGCATGGCATGCAAAACACTCCAGTTGAAGAAGACAGTATTCGAATTTCTACTTATGTTTAAACCTCACTTTTTATTTATTTTAGTGTATTTTGAAATGTGGATAATACTGTCTTATATATCACACGTATATGACTTTTAAATGGGGCTCTAAAAGATTCACTGTTGGAGGGTAATCTCTCTTGTCATGTTGGTTTCTGGTCTGGCCCCTCTGGCTCCCATGGCTCCTCTGCTTCTCTTCCGCACGAGGACCAGTCCCGTACCATAACCAGAGCTGGGCTTGCACTGCTCATGCAATCTTTCCAGACTGTTTTCTTTAACCAGCTCTGATTGCTCTTTGTTGTGATTTGTGGCTCTCTAAATTGGCGAAGTCTTTTTAATGGAAAATGTGTATTCTGCCCCTATTTTGATTAGAAAGGGATAGCTTCCATGTAGCATACTGTTCTAAGGATATATATTTTTGGAATATTACAAACCTTCTCCCCAACTGCCCCACAAACCCAACCTTTATCCGTGATGTCTTCCTGTTTTTAAACTCTCACAACCTCTCTTTCCTCCAAATCCTTCCTAACACAGATTATAAAAAACATTCACAAATAATGAGAAAATAGCAATTATCGTTACATAGCAAGAGAAAAAAAATCAAAATCATCTAAGGTAAAATATATGTTCCAAGAAAGTTATATATAGATACAACTTAAAAAAACCGAATTATACACAAAAATGTATATGTATCAAGGGTGTTTTCTCTTTAAAGTTATTTTCATGCAGATGTTTTTAATAAAAGAAAGAATCCTTTTCATATAAACGAGCATTCTTCCTGTGTATTTTATTATACAGGGTTTGCTTGAATTCACATGTATTTTTACTCCACAGGTTTCTATCATTATTTTTAACAGAAAATGTGAAAAGTATTTGGGGGCTAAGTGCATTCATATAAAGCTCTAAAAGTTATAAACAAAGTTTTGACAGAATGCCAATGATCATTGGCATCATTTCACATTTGAGACAGAATGTCTGTGACCTTCTATATAATTTTGCTTTGTAATCTAATACCATTAGCCAGGTCATCTCTAATAGGGATTCTCTGTCTTGATTAACAGCATCTCCATTTTATCAGTTGTTCAATCTAGAAATATTGGTGCCATCCTTAAATCCTCCTTTTTCCTTACAGTTCATATCCAATTAGTTATTGAATCATAAGGAACATATAACACACAAGATGTGTCAATTTATGTTATTTATCTCCCCTCCTCTTTACTCCAATGGTCACTGCCCTAATTAAAGCGCTATGACCATTCTGGTTTATTGCAATAATGCCTAATTAAAGCCCTATGACCATTCCGGTTTATTGCAATAATGCCTAATTAAAGCGCTATGACCATTCTGGTTTATTGCAATAATGCCTAACTGGTCTTCCTGCTGCTAGTCCTCCTGTCCTTCAAACTCTCCTTCCTTTCTTCACACTATTTCAATAATATCTTCTGAGACAGAGATCTATTTTTGCTATTTTCTGTTTAAATAAGTCAGTGCCTGTATCCTAGCTGCTATACAAAAATTTAGAGTGCCACTCAGATACCTTTACAATTATTCCAGGAATCTGGCCCCTCCATCGCTCATGGCCTGAAATTTTCATCAATATGCCCCTTCGCTTTTTTGCATTTCTACATCTTTTCTTTCTCGTTCCTCCATCTGGACTGCCTTTCCTCCAACTGTCAGCCTAATAAACTCTCCTAAGATTTGGTTCAAATGTTGTCCTTTTGTGAAACCTTCTTCACACTTCTGCGTTCTGGTGCTTCTACACTTCTTTTTAAGACCTCTGTGACAACACTTAATGTACTGAATTGCAAGGCAGCATGAGCCTTCTACCCTATCAAGGTACAAAGTCTTTAAAGGCAAGAGCTTTGCTATTTTAAGTTTGGAATGTCCATGTTCATTATAAAGTCAATCCTCTGAATAGTAAGGTAGTTCTGAGACTTAAAAAAGAACTTGATTATATTATTTGCTGTTTAATTGATACCTTCTAAATTCAGAGACTTATTTCTTAATCAAGACATAATCTACAGCTTTTCAAAGGCAATTTTTAGAGTGTTAATATTCTGGTTACCTAATTTGTTAATGAAGTCTGTCGTCCAATCTAAATTTTAAACAGGCCTCTTACTCTCTATAACCACATAAGACAGAAAATGCCTAGAGTCTGGATGTTAAATTTGATGTAACAAAACTTACATATGAATAAAAATTTAAGTTATCTGCTAATTTCCTCTGTATCTTATATTTAGTTATAGGCTTACCATTTTAAAAGTAGTTAAAATGTTATTTCATTAGATTTCAAATCAATCTATATAGGCTTACTGCCAAAGGGGCTAGTAGTTATTTCCCATCATATTTAATTCTTTTAGTAGATTGTATTTGTTGCAATTTTCATAAATATTATATTTTATAATATGTAACAGTTTTAAACATTATTCTTCAGCATTGGAAAAAATATGCTTAATGGAAAAATCTTATATTCATTTTTCTATAATGTCAAAAGCTGTTTTAAGTTATAAATTTATAAATATAAAAGAAAATAAAGACCTTGAGAAAAAAGAAAATAATTATATTTTCCAATTTAAAAATGGAATTAAAAATACTGCTTTTTCTAAACTGAACAAACTGTTTTCAGAATTGACAGATTTTTAGTTTTATGAAGCTTTTTGATCAAATTAAAAGATCAATAGATACTGCTACAATGCTACCTAGTATATCAGACAATGAGAGATTATTTTCCTTAGAACTATTTCTTTGTTGAAGAATCTGTAAAAAATATCATTGGTAAATTAATAGAGAACATTTCTACAAAGCAAATATAGTAAGGCATAAAATATTCCATACACAATATTAAACTTGCATTTTATTCTGGAGTAATGGAATTGAGCTAAATTTCAAAAAAATGCATAGAACATGAAATAGAAAGAACTCAGTAATGGAGTTGCATCTTTTAAAACAACGTGTAAAGCTAGAAAATGAGAATATCATAAAAATATTTCGAATAGTTTTACTGACTTATTTTTCATTGAAACTGACTGTCAGATGAGTTAATGGTGAAGGTTTGTTTAAAAAATAACAGAATATAATTTTATGAATTATTAGCTTGAAGACAGCACAACAGACTTTGAGAACAAATTTCTCAAAACAATAACCAAAGAGATCAATTAAATGAATTGGTTTAGGGTAGTCATAAATATTTACACTATCGATAGGACAAATTGAAGTGATATAATTTGTGGATGACAGTTTGGTTCTAAAGTTTTAAACTTGCATTTCAGTTCACATTTCCTCCAAGTATCATTCAGGAAAAGGTTTAGAGTATACTTATATATCCCCAGAGAAATCTATATTGTCCACTATAAGTATGATCAGATCATTCACAAACATTTGGAAAAAATATTTCATAATCACTTGTTCCTCACTGTTATTGAGTTAGTAATCAATTCCACCATTTACATACACAGAACTCCATTTAAAGAAAATTACTGAAGCATCAAAGAGACTTCGGCCCATGTTATAACATCCAGTCATGAAATGGACGTTAAGCATGATGTTAAAGTCCCAGAAGAATGAAAGAAAGAAAACAGTCAAGCATGAAAAGTTTTTCTTTTTCTTTTGTTGTTGTTTTTATAAACTAGGCACTCGGATAAAGCGAATACTTCTCAATTAAATAATACGGTTAAATTCGAAATGTAATACAAACAGAAAATTAGAAAGGTAGAAACAGAATTACTCGAATAACATTAAAAACAATAAAAGTAAACAAACTAGATTGGGAAAGGGCATAAAAACTTACAGTTGTCGTATAAGCAGCTTCTGGATCATCTTCCAGCACTCTGGAGAGACCAAAATCAGAAACTTTGCACACCAAGTTGCTATTGACCAATATATTCCGAGCCGCTAGGTCTCGATGAACATAACCCATATCAGAAAGATACTTCATGCCTGATGCGATGCCTCGGAGCATTCCAACCAACTGGATGACCGTGAAGTGGCCATCGTGCTTCTGCAAGAGAATCACAATTGTTTACATTGATTTATTTTAATGCAGTGTGTATGTGTGTGTGTATTAAATAAGATCCTTACATTTATTGTATTGGGTCAAATGAAGATAAACATCAAGTCTGGGGATCATTGACTGTGTTCACAAGAAAAAGTAAGACTTTGTTTGACATTTAAAGAAAAAGGAAACTCTAACTGGAAGTAGTGAAGGACAACTAAACAAATGACAGAAGGAAATCAACCAAATTAACTCTCAGAACAAAATGATTTCAAAAACGTAGGTGATAGGAGAGAACTAAAGTAAAATAAAGTAAGAGGAAAGGCTACCAAACAAACAGAATTCACTTCCCATAGTTGTGAGCTTTGAACCGGCTGCGGAAGGGCAGCAGAGCCTAGGACTGGGTAAAACCCGTGTGATAACTGGAGATACTGTGAAAAATAGTAGTCAGGCCAGGTGACTCAGGAAGAAAAAAATGTGATGGCATGAACAAGAAACGAGTATCGGAAAGGAGCAGGAGAGCAAGAAAAGCACAAGCAAAGAGAAAATAAATAGATTTTCCCTTTGTTTTGATTATATAGAGAAGATAAGAAAGTTGTTGGCAATTGACAGGGAAATGAGACTATTTTACTTCCTGGTTGGAAGATTTAAATTAAATAATGTGGAGAATGAATCAGGCATGGTATTAGTATACAGTAATCAATCCCATCTTATTCTCTCCACCTTGATTTTAAAATAATCTATTTTTTAAGAGAGTTAAAAAAAATCCAGTTGTTATCTGAGCAACATGTATGTATCAACAAGACCAGATACAAATCATACCCCTGAAATTAGAGGAAATAAAAAGAAAAATATTTAAAGTTTGAAAAATAATGCATATTATTCTACCTAGTTATTTGGAGACTGCTGTCTTTAATAGAGTTATAGAGAAACATGAAAATTTCTTCTTTTATGTATCAGGCAAAATTTGCAGGAGATTACAGGGCTGTCTTACTTTATGCTATATATTAGAAGCACAAATAAGAGAAACTTAAAAACTCTGCAAGTTAAAGCAGTTTTTATGAATACATATCTGATTTCAAACCATAGTGCAGCTTCAGGACAGGGATGATCTGACCCGAGCTGTCGTGGTGACACAGTCTCCTATACAATGATGACTCACTACAAATGAAATCAACTTTGTCTTGCTATATCAACTTATCTCTCTGATAGCTCTCTGATAATATCTCCCAAATCTGGTGCAGAGTAAGGGAAAGAACCCTCTTTTAAGAAAACACTCTTACAGCAAGAATATCCATTCAAGCAGGCTCTTCTGTATAATTAATTTATAAAGGATAACGTAGCAAAGAAAATCTTTGGTGTTATTGGCTCTTTATGTTTCGAATCCGTCTTCTTAGACAGTACACTATTAGATGAAATCGGCCTCTTCTGTCATGCACACTGCCTACCAGTTTTCTATTAGGAATCTGGAAACCTTTGAATGCAACTGGAAGCATAAGTTCTTTCAGCCTAGCATGAAGTACACTAAAGTTTAAGGGTTGGTTCCTTTACCTATTCAAAAATGGAGTTGCCTCCTATCATAATTCTTGTCAAACAGAATTTTAAAGTAGTAGGGAATGTTAATGGGGCAACTGAAAACTTGAGTGTCTGCTTCCTTATGACACAATGGGAAAAGAGTCATCTAACTCAGAATTGCAGGGAGAATCACATAGAAGACACACAGCACAGCTCCTTACTTAATTTAATAATAGTTACTATTTAATAAGTTCTTGTTATTACTGTTATTATATATTTTTTGCAATTTTAATGAGTCAGGAAATTCTCCTGTCACTTTCCTGAAAAATCAATTCTCAACATATGCTTCTACATATATAAAGAGAAACAGTTATTAAGACCAGGTTGAAATTTAATGTTCTATCTTGCTGAGTGTGTCACAAAGCACCAGTTTGCTTTTTAATACTTTTATTGAGATATAATTCATGTTCCATACAATGTGTCTTTTAAAGTATACAATTTAGTTTTTACCTTATTCACAGAGTTGTACCACTAGCACCAAAATCAATTCTAGAACTTTCTCATCATCCCCTTTGAAAAGGCCCATACTTACTAGCAATAAGTTCTCATTTCCCCTAACTCCTCCCACCACACTGGGAAACCAGTAATCTACTTTCAAGGTCTACATATTTGCCTATTCTGGATATCTCTTGATTGAAATCATACAATATGTGGTCTTTTGTGACTGTCTTCTTTCACCTAGTATGTTTTCAAGGTTCATCCATCTTGTAGCATGTATCAGTAATTTATTCTTTTTATTGCTAGATAATTTCTATTCCTTTTGTGTATTCATCAGATGATGGATATTTGAATTACTTCTATTTTTTGATTACTATGCAAGTTATTTTTAAAATTAATCTTAAAAATATTTTTGTCACCAACATTTGAAGATTTGGATTAATTGCTTTCATGTCAATTACTATGGTAATAATGGTTCTAACAATGATAAGTGGTATCATTTAAAAAATAAGATTTTGGCGTATTAAAAGAATCTAAACTACTTTCTTCATGTACTTTTATAGGACTATAAATGAATAATATTTACTTCTAAACCATTGGCCAAGACATTCCAGGGGTCCATGAGGTCAAAATTACTTTCATAATAGCACTAAATACATGTTTTTGCCTTTTTCACTAGGTTGATACTTGCGCAAATGGTATGAAACGCTGATGGGTAAAACTGCAGAAGCCACATCAGGAATCAAGTCAGTAGCACCAAACCAAACTATAGTAGTATTCTCATATTCTTCTCCGACACAGGCACTCACAGGAAGGAAAAAAAGCTAGTTTTTCTTAAGAATGTCCTTGGTGAAGTAGTAAATCTTATGAGTTTCATTAAATCATGATCTTTGATTACACACTCTCAGCATCAACACCTCTGAGGAAGAGAAGAAAGCAGGATGGGCAGCAGCAGGTTGCAGTTGGCCTTGTCTATTTTATGGAATGTTCTGGATCTGGGATAACTCCTTAGAGTTGGCTCAAACTGAAGAAAAAAAGACTGGGTCCTTGTCCTCCTACATCGATCACTGGATTCAGGCTGCTCGCGTAAAGGGGTCACGGCCTTGGGTGAGGTGTCTGTCTTTAGCCAAGAGCATTCCCTAAAGTGGGATTCGGTTACGGGTTTATCACTTGCAAAACTCTGGAAGCTATAGGAATAAGGAAGTTGATCCTGTGAGCCCTCCGAAGAAAGTTCCTGTGTGCACATATTTTTATAATCTTTCCCAGGGAACTCAGCCTGTGTTCATTTATCTCTCCATCACTACAGTCATCTATTTATCCATGATCTATCCACCTATCCATCTGTCTATCTACTGTTTATAAAATGTGGGCTTGATGAAAAAAAAGCTCCAAAACAGTTCTATATTCTTTTGGGAATGTGTACCTTAATTTCTTCCACATTATTATAGGAGAAAAAACAGCTAACATTCATTGAAGGCTATAAGCCAGTCCCAGACTAAGGATTTTACAGGTATTATTTTATTTCATCCTCTCCACATTGACATGATGTAAATGTAGTGATTATCTCCAACTTGTAGATGGTGAAACTGAAGGACAAAGACATCTAATAACCTAGCAAATGTTGGAGTCAAGATTTGAATCCAGGTAATGACACAGCCTGTATTCTTATCTGCTGGAGTTTTTGGAAAACCAGCTGAACAAAATTTTACCTAATTCTGGGCTAGTTTGGGCAGCATAATTTGGTATAATAAAGCAATGTTTAAAAGTCCTCTTTTTTTTTTTTTTTTTTTTGAGACAGAGTCTTGCCCTGTTGCCAGGCACCAGGCTGGAGTGCAGTGGTGAAATCTCAGCTCACTGCAACCTCCGCCTCCAGGGTTCAAGCAATTCTCCTGCCTCAGCCTCCCAAGTAGCTGGGACCACAGGTGCACGCCACCACGCCCAGCTAATTTTTGTATATTTTAGTAGAGATGGGGTTTCACCATGGTCTCGATCTCTTGACCTTGTGATCCGCCCGCCTCAGCCTCCCAAAGTGCTGGGATTACAGGCGTGAGCCTCTGTGCCCGGCCTAAAAGTCCTCTTAGATCATTTAACCAAAAACAAACAAACGAACACTCCAGATAAACCAACAGATAAAGATCTATTCACCTGTCTGGCTGAGAGAACAGCCCCATTTATTCATACATGAGGCATAGCACAAACCTGTTTCTCTACACATGATGCAACTCTCTTATTCAAACAAAATCTATATTCTTTTTCCTGGTCTTCATCAACATAGCCTCCTCAAATTTGGTTTAGGACATATTGGTTTCCTTGAATATGGTAGATGGCTAACAAATGGTGATAGAATTAAATAACCTTTGATACTACCTTGTGGTGCATGGGTTGTTACTGTTACATTGTTCCTATTGTCTTGTATAAAATAGACTGTTTTCTTAAAGCAGGACCTGGGTATTACCCCTTATATGTAGCAGCTCTCGAACAGCATCCAGTATATTGCCATGCATTGTGTCAGCACTCGATAAATATTCATTCAAATTGAATTGAATTGTTTATGAGGGGAGGAGAAAAATGTCAGAGCACCGAGATTTAATATTTTTGGGCTTCCTACTAAAGATTAATCTAAAAGAAACTATGAATTTTTTTATGACATATGGTCTCTTCCCAGGAAGGCAGATTCAAATGAAAGAGAGTGAATATGGCGTATTTATATCCAGCATCTTAGAGATTAGTAGCTAGAATACCGTTTGTCTTCATCCTTATTTTTTTTACTTTCTCAGCCTGACTGCTGAGAAACATGGAGTCTACCCTCTAACTGGCAGAAAGGGTGCGCCTGGGTGGAAGGGGGTTCTGAAAGCTATTCATAACAACACCTGCTGTTTCTAAAAGCTGCAGAGCTCCATCAGACCCTTTCAGAGCCCAGAGCACAGCATCCCCCAGATCTGAGCAGTAAAAGTAAATGACAAGTCACGTTGTCTGTGCGGTAACCCAAGCTC